GAGCTGTACGACTTTTACCTATAAAATGCATAAAATACGATAATACTATATGGACTAGGAACAGAGCATTACGTCATCACCGCCATCATTGAATTGCGCCGCCATATCGAATTCGACCAATTGATGGTCTCCCGTACTAGAATTGGCGGGGGATTTGCCTTTTCTCGAAGAGCGCCCCCTCACAAAGAACAAAACGCTTGCCCCTCCTCCACCCCCCCCCCCCCACACACACACAGCTTAATTCAATAATTTGTGAATATATCTTGTTCAGAATAACCGCTCGATGTTTTAATTATGGATTCTGTCAATTCAACTTCTAATTTCATTACTTGTTAAATTGAAAAGATTCCCGGATTCTACGGTATACATATAAATATACTGAATATAAACTATGGGTTCTAACTCCAAGATAAAAATAACTAGGTTTACTTCCTTGAACCATTGATACCACTTCTCATTTGAGGAGTTCGCATAGCCAAACCACTTCATTTGTACTTATTACTTATTGAATTCCTTCTAGAGCATTCCGTAATTACGTCAACTGCACAGAGGGCGTGGCCTGTCTATGTGGATTAAGAACATCTGCAACAATCCTTCAAGAAATAACCATTGCTCATGGACGTTACGACAGTTTGGGCTGCGAAGCCGGTAAATATGTTCTTACTGATTTTAATATGTAATATTTCCCAATCTGAGGCGCAAATGATTTGTAATTAAAGGAGACGCGTCCCATATGTATTTTAGTGGATAAAACTGGTCTATGGGAGTTTTGAGCGACTATCTGAAGGTCTGCGATGCACACTGTAAGCTTTGACGAGGCATTGGCCGAACGTGAACCCCGAAATTCCATGCTATGAATTCATTCATTAAAGATAATGTTTCCTTAATCTAGTGATCATGCATTCCCAAACACCTCTTTATTTTGATTTGAAATCTTTTAAGAAAGTTAATACACTCTACCTGTCACATTCTGGCGTTTGGTGTACTTTAATTTACGCCCTTTGAAATTTGGGACAGCTTCTTTAAGCTTAATAAACTATACTGTCATACTCTGGCGGTTGGTTTACTTTAATTTACGCCCCTTGAAACCTGGGACGGCTTCTTTACGCTCAAAGCCCAAAATCGCCCTTGCTGTGTAATGTGATCCAAGTCTGTTAAAATATTTTGTTTTTCTTTGTGGATGTATATAAGATTTAAACATCATCTGTTATTATTGCAGTAAGCGGTAAATTAGAAAGAGTAGCCGGAATTCAATGTCCAGGTATTATCCTATTGTTATTTTAAAACTTTATCACATAGATCTTGCCTCTGTCTTTCAAAGTTAGTTCATATTATCCAAGATCTTTTGATCCTTGACATAAGTGATGAGCATCATCTGAATTGGACATTAATAGTAGTTACACACACTTTGACATCTGGCATGATAATTCAGCTATATGACTAAACCTAGTCAAACATGGCACCAAAAGAAAAGCTTTGCTCCTTGGAAATGGTTAGTTAGTAAATGTTCAAATAACGAATAACAGACATGGAATGGACGATAAACCGTTACGATAAGTCTCGATTATCCATTTTTACGGTAAGCGCATCAACAGCCAAACGTATTTAAATCTACTTAATATCGGAGCCATCCGATGGCATCGAGAGTTGATTATGGTCTAATAATTTAAGGCCTATAATAAGCTGATTTAGCTCTCGCATAATGCCTGTTTCGTTATTTGAATTTGAAATTATCGCAATTTTAATCGTTTATTTAAGCTGGTTCTTTTGGCAATGGCAGTTCAACAGATGAAATCTTAACATCTCTAGGATTATTAGAGGGTACGATAAAATACGTTTAATTTAAGATATTGTAATTTGATTGTTTTATTTGTTGTTTCTTAATACATATTTATTGTCCCAATAACTAGTCCTTTCAAAGGCTATACACTATCATGTCGGTTCAGACCTTGTTCACTTGTCTACTTAATCACGTAATTTGATTGTTCCCTGGTTGCCTAGTATTTGAGAGATATTTATCCTATCCCATGCACCCCACCCTTTTAAGCGACAAACCCTAATAAATAGTTGCGGCTTAGTATTTGAGAGACAACTGTTCCATTCCATGTGCCTCACCCCAGCTCCTTAAGCGTTATACCCTAACAGATATATGCTGTGTGCCCGTTAGTATTTGGGTGATATTTATTCTATTCCATGCCCCCTCCCTTAAGCATTAATCGTCAACAAATATTTGCCCGTTAGTATTTAAGAGATAACTATTCTATCGTTGGCAGTACCTCGTTGATTAAAGGAACATAGTGCGACATTTTAGGTGGTGTTGGGGGGGGGGGGGGCATTTGGATACAAACGGTTGTATGTAGCCCAAACATTACCTTTCAACTTATAAGCCGAAAAGTCGTCAATATGACTAGCTAGTCACAAGCGCCATAATATCCCTACAAAGACTCCTTGCTCCTAGCAATTGAAAGGTACACATTTATGTTGTGGAATTGTGACTTCTAAATCTTCATTAAATCACCATATTTTAACGAAATATGGTGTTTTATTTCTTCTCGATTATCCATGAATTTAATTCCTGACCCGAGTAGTCCATTAACAAATTCCATATATATATGTACTCTTTTAGCTACTGCTGCTATTGCTAACATTGGTAGGTGTCCAGATTCAGAAGCATGTTATAGACAATATGATGTTGCTGCAGCTAAAGCATTACATGAGAAAGATATTGTGGCTTTTTGTCAGTAAGTATGATTTACTTAATCGTCAGTAAAGTTGACACACTAACCGATGCCACCATTTCTATTTAGCTCACCTTTTTCTTTACACGTCTAAATGCTTGTTCGTAGATCGATTGGTCGACACACACTTTGCTTGCTTCACTTTATAGAGGTCAATTCTTCCGCAATTTTAATCAACTCTTCTGCATTTGTCAGCATTAGGATATAGGCTGTGCCTTTCGATTTTTAGCGTTTCAGCTAAAACAGTTTACTAATTATGGGCCCTGACGTTTCTCATTTTACATTACCGGACTAATTTGCAGATTTCAATTATTCGCCGATTTTAGAGATTGTGCGAGAGCAGTTTCTGAATTAGGCCGTTGACTCATTATTATTGTTGATATAGCTATAGATTACGTACTGTACTGATTTTCTGGATGTGTCGTATTAGGATAAAGATAGCCCACGTTGATTTTGGGCGTATTCGCGAAATTTTTTCCAGTAACGAGAGACGTTGCGTTTTATTACTTCTATTTACTAAATGTAGCAAAAAATACTATACTTGCTAGCCAACCAGTGAAATAAACAAAAATAAAGAATATAAGTTCAGAGTAATCTACCCATGTATTTAGAGGATGGGTAAGAATATTGGTTCTGCATTATATCTACCCCCCCACACCTATTAAACCGCATTGAAAATAAAATTCTCAGCCAATTTTAAATGTAAAAAGTGTCCGAAAAGTCCCAAGGTTTGTTTGGGGTTAGGAACCAACCGAAAAGGCGCATATTTTGGACTTTGCCTCGCTCGACCACCAAATTGAGAGAAGTTTAGGACAGAATGTGTTATGTTCTCGCGTTCAGCTATATTTTTTATCACCATGCGTCGAACCCTATCATAACCACACCCCACCGCTTAATCCGCCTCTAAAATAAATGAGTTATAATCTTTTTCCTTTTTTTTTTCAAGAGCTGAGAGTGCATATATCCATTGCTGGGAACAAGCATTATGTAAATGTCATCTATATTATGATGCGGGCTATCAGGAATGGTTATTAGGATTTAAGTCATACCATGTACGGTTATGTCCAGCAGGTAATATTCATGTTTATTATTATTCTAAAGTTTCCCTGTGGTCAAATATTTCGATAGCCCTTTCCCATTTATCTATCAATTTATGTGTCTTTCTCGGACCACAATTATGGAATAGGAATTATAAACAAAAAGCAGATTTGTGTTACGGGGTTCTGTAACTCATTTAAGGAATTTTATTCTGCAATCGTATAAGTAACTTGATTTTCGTGGCAAATATATAGACATTGTTAACCAGGAGCTACGGTGCTAGTTGACTAAAGTTCTGTCTACCATTCCAACCTGATGTAACTTTTTTACTAAATCTTCTGAATGACTGACTGGCCGGACGTTTATTTGTAAGTCTATTGAAAGGTCAGTATGCTGCATGTAAACACTGGCCCAGAACGTGCTTTTGGCAAAAAATGTTTTAGATCTAAATTGAGTGACCAGAAAAATAAACGAAACGAAAATAATATGCACCTTTAATTAGAAAATAATATGTACCTTTAATTAGAATGGGCAGCCTAATGTTCATGAATATCTATATATTTATTTCCTCTAGATGTAACTATGAATGCAACATATATATGTGGTAAGTATAATATTATTTATTATTTTTATTCAATTTATAATGGTTTCAATATAATAACCTATATCTAAAATCAAAAGGATTGTACAACAAAATTAGCAGTCCGACTTGACAAAATGTCAGTAGCAACTGATCTTGTATCGAACATTTTTAACTTTGTTGAGGCCAAGTATATAAATAAATATACAGCAATAGACGTATATGTGTCGCACCAAATCCCGAAATTGTGCCCTATTTCAAGATATGTTAATTAATGTCAACTACAGAATGTAAAGAAATCCAGGCATGTTAAATGTCACCTGCATAATTACCAAATTTTTATGTTAAAAGCTAAAAGATCTTTTTAGTTTAACATTTTCAGTTAATTATTTGTATATTCGATTAAATATTCTGGACTCAAGGACAGTTGAAAAAACCCCACAGCATTCGTCAATTCAATAACAAAACTGATATTTCTCACAGAAAATGTGTATTGTGACTGACAGAACTCGATTCCGCGTTACTCAGCTTCAAGTCCATGTATTCTGAATGGTCCGTGGTCACAATCGATCACACCTTTAGGTAACAAGATAAACCACTACGTCGAGTGTCGATATGTTGCAATGATTTCATCTCACGGGGAATCTAACGTATTGGTCAGTGGTGTGTAGATATATTGGCAATCACGTTTTATTCTGTTTTTATGTTTTGTTACGGATGTACTTTTTATGTGTACTATACTATTAATGTAGATGCGTGCCGAGAAAATAACCCTATTGGCGACTGTTACAAAACCTTTGAAGCCGCTGTTTTACCTAATTTTGAAAACAAGGCAGCAGTTTGTCCGTAAGTTGCATTAACATTTTTAATTGGCCTCACATATAACCATCATGCTCCGGTTTGCTGGAGACCTTCCAGTAGAATTGGACCTAACATATTAGATAACCCTCTCGCAGACCCACCCATTCGATATACATATAGTTTAAATATAAACTGGCGACTCAGATATGGATTAGAATCTGTTTGATTTATTAATAAAGTTATGAACTTTTGTACAAATAAAAAGTGTTAATTTTAAGGCTGTGGGATGTTAGCCATTCAAATATTTTTTATATTTTTAAAACGATATCTTTCTAGCGTTTATATATATTCTCGGTCTATTTAAAACAGATGCCAATTTCGTTTCGTTTCTAATTTTAAATGTACAAATCAGAAAAGAATAAACGAAATGAACTTGAATTAGATTGCTATATTATTATTACAATGAATTGTATCCATTTAACGTGTTTTCAGAGCATACAGAAATTATATCAACTGTACAGAGGGTGTGGCCTGTTTGTGTGGGTTGAAAACATCCTCAGTAATCCTTCAAGGAGTAACGTTTGCTCATGGAAATTACAATGATATAGGTTGTGAAGCGGGTAAATACAATGCAATATATAATATTTGAAAATGGTTATTCATTACTATATTTCTACCAGCCTATTTGAATTATTGGCCAAATGGCATAATATCAAAAATAGTCTAATTGTATGTTAAATCGATTATATCTGACTTTAACTCGAGCCATCAATAGGTTTAGTAGATGTTATATATTAATAGGCCTCTGAAAGTTGTATTTTATCGGTTGTATTTTCAGTAAGTGGTAAATTAGAAAGAGTAGCAGGGATTCAATGTCCAGGTATTATCTTATATATGTTTTAAAACCTGAAAGCGCGAGACGCCTAATAATCATTTTCCGTATTTAAATCTAACACAGAAGGACTTAAAACCCAAACATTTAAAACAAAAATGTAGGTTTGATGTCATCTTGAATTTTGGATAGAAATCGAGATTGTTACAAGATTCCATTTTGAACTTTATATTTGTGGATTGAAATGAAAAATGGCCATAACTTCCGATCGGATTGATCGTGTTTGAAGTATGAACCAGTATATTATTTGATAACTCGATGTTGTATTGTGCAAGCCTAAAAGTCTGTTTTTGTCTTAATCGATCGGAAAGATTGTGCCCCTAACATAAATTAATTATGACAGTCGCCTTCGGAAATCGGATGAAAACATACCCCGTTAGACGATAAACAGACCAGGGAAATATATAGTAAAATTGGCTATTGGACCACAAGAAAATCAAAAGTAGACTGTGTCGCAGACTCGTTGGAAGAACCCGGACAAGAGGTAGTTGACACACACAGTGGTCATCTGGGTGACAGAGGCGGAAGCAGAGGCGGATCCAGGACAGGATTTAGGACAGGATGGGCACTCAAAGCACGAGAAAATAATATAGACATTATGTGATATCAATGTGTATGTATATACGCCAAAATGACGATAAAGACCATGCGGGAGGGGGGGGGGGGAGACATTGTCTGAGGAACATGACCCCCCCCCCCCCCTGCAAAAATTCCTGGATCCTCCCCTGGGAAGCACATAGACGACAATTTGCTTTGCACATGCAATACGCTATATGAATAAGTTATATTATTATGAAATATCATTCTTGAAACCATTTCGTACGTGTATGTTTCTTTAGTTACGTACATTATAATTGCTTATATATTGCATACAATTGATCATACATTGTTTTCTTCAGCTGGCTATCCATCATCTGGGAATACATCAGATGAAATTCTAACAACCCTTGGTCTGTTGGACGGTATGATAAAATACTTTAATTGTATCTTATGTCCGTAGTTGTTTTGGGACACTGTAAATTAATTTCTAAAGGGGTGGGGATTAACGTGTGCGCTTTAGAATGGTTTCGATTCCAAGCGTGCACACAACAAGTAATTGGGTCGCCCGCAAATCCTCATAGGTTTCTTCCGAGTCGTCCAATTTCCTCGCAGTGCTAAATGCAAGCGAATTATTGGAATAATGTTATTCCCGAAATGACCTGATTTGTGTCGATTGGACGTTAAATGCTATTTCACGCTGTAGACGTTCTATCTCCATAGAATAACACCGAAATAAAACTGATTCTTGCTGTTCGAATGTTATTGCATAAATAGAAGTCCCAAATTCGTCGATTTCATTGAATATACTGTATCTTGTAGTATTATTGTATGCTAATTGTCCTGTGACCTCCAGTTACCAAGATCTTATATTTATTGAACAATCGCGGTGGCTATCTGATTGCTGTCTTAAATCCTTTTTTAGTTTCGAGCTATAGATTGTGTCTTGTTTGTAGATTGAACTTTTCACTTATCATATATTCAAGCTCCTGTTGTCATTGGTCATATCGGCAAGTGTCCGGCTTCAGAAGATTGTTACAAAAAGGCTGATAACACTACAGCTAAAGCACTGCACGAAAAAGATGCCCCTGCTCTTTGTCAGTAAGTAAATTTTACACTTTTTAAAGAGGGTGGCACATTTTATTGTTTTCTCCAATAGGTGTAACAATACAAAATTATATAGTAAGCATGCGATGCTATTTAACACCCACGCCACATCTGACAACAGGGAACGAAACCACGACCACGGACCGTATGGGTTAGCTAGAGCTCAAAGCGCGACACTCAATCTAGACCCCCCTCCCCAATCTCCTTAACAGTTAAAGGTCGTCATCGCCATTTATGGCTCATGCACCGACAAATCTAATATGCTTCGCAGTGAACAGTCTGAAATGGTTCCACAGTTTTGACCAAACAACATGACTTCATGAATATAACCATATGTTCTGGAAGGAAGGTACAGTGCAAGACATCCATACCATACAGTAAGGAATGTTCTACTACTTTAGTCGACTTGGGTTGTACGAATAAAGAGAGAATCATTTGAGTGTGCAACAGTAAAATTATATGAAGACAAATTCCTTAATGAATAAGGTTATGCTGTAGAAATTCAGTTAACCATGCGACTATTTTTCTCATGTTTTTTAAACGTTCTATTTCCTCACAGATCTCAAAGTGATTTTATCCACTGTTGGGAACAGGCATTGTGTAAATGTAATCGGTATACAGATGTAGAATATCAAAATTGGTTAACACAACAAAAGAACATTCATTTACAGTTATGTAGAGCGGGTAAGTTTTATGTTTGTAAGTCAGAATTATAGTGAGAATTGTTGTTTTGTGTTAGACAACTTGACGGATCCTACTCAAAATACCAGAGGATACAGCCCAGCTATATTTATCTCAACATTTTTTAAATCACTCTATCTGTTGGTCAGTTAGGTATGGAATCGCATTGGTTTCAATAGCCTCAAGGATATCGCGATATTAATAAGGTAATGTCTACAAAAAAAACTATGGTGATTGTTGCGATGATTTTACCCCTTGAAAGAAATTTTTCCAAGTTAATTTTAGCAACGGGCTATGTTGTGTGTCGTTTTAAATGCGTACGTTTGAGGATATTGTATACATATATATACATACAAAACCACCTAGTAATAAAATATTTCGGAAAAAAAATTGATGCGTTTTCCATGGCGCTCAGTATATTTATTACCCTATGACCCTAATTCTCGTTCATAGTTAGACATTAATGTCGATGTCCATATAAGGTTACCGTATGGTGAAATCCTTTTCATTGTTTTGTTTTGATTCTTTGTCGTATTGTAAAGTATGATATAGTCATTTTAACTTACCCCACGCACACACACACACCCACGCCACCACCACCACACCGCCACCTAGGCTCTGTGAATCGAAACTTATTTTTGTATTTATTAGTCAACTAAACAACTCTCAATGAGCTTAACATATGACACAATTATGTGGAATACAAATTACTTTGAAGTTTGTTTCTGGCCACTATCGGACGAGAATTAGCTCGTTAATATCAAGCAAAGAATCTCAATTCATTAATAGTTAAATATTCACAATTTCTATTTATATCGTTTATAGATTCCTCCATTACTGTTACCTATCAATGCGGTAAGTATTAAACATTTATTTAGGTATTGGAATCTTCTCTATGGATGTACTGAGCTGTTCCGTACTCAACATTTTTAGCCCAAAGTTAGATTAAAGAACAGTTTGATAGATTGGAATCAATTTTGTTGATATGTTTCTTGGGTGGTACTTCTTCACTTTTATTCTGTCCTATAAATCAGCTGAAAATTTAGACATTTTCACACATTTTCGAAATCTTCTTCAAATCAGTGAATGTATTTCAAATGAATTTGGTAGGTGTGTTCCTTGGGTGGTGTTTAATCTAATTTGTTCACCAGAAAAATAGGGGCTGAGACTGGGGCTACTAAAGGGGGAATAAAAAGCAGGCAGGGGTTAAAAGCTAAGATTTTACAAGCAGAATCACCAAACTGTTAAACAGCAGCAATTCGAAAGCTTTCTTTTAACACTGTATAAAATGATCTAAGGTAACGCCCATTGTCTATTGTTGTACCTGCTTACAGAAAATAGGATTTTGTTTTATCCAGATAAACTTCAAACACAATCATTTACTTATTTTATTAATAATCAACAACAGCTGTTTATAAATTTGATATTCTGGCCTAATTAACTGACCCTATCAGTGATATTTGCGGCCACTCGAATTTTTACTGCTGATCAGTTTGGCAGAATATGATACAAAAATTAAGAAAATCACCTGAAGTGAAGATGCTTTTTACGATATCCTGTAAATCCAGTTCTTTGTTTTTAATTTTGTTGACAACAATCACCGCCACCCCCGCACAATTTACAAGTACTTATTGTTTCTAACGAGGGAATTGAGTTACCCCATATGCCCGATGATTTTGAAGCAACGATCGCGCGGTTTACATGTGCAGAAGAGTTTTCGAAGTTAAAGCGAGACCAAACCTTTTATTAAGCATGCCCTTACCCCTGCTTCTATTGTCCCAGAATAGGACCTTATTGTCTGAACATAGCCATAATACTTTCTTATTAATTTTTTTTCAGACTCATCCGCCATGGCTAGTGTATCTGTGTTGAGTGTATTATTGTTTACGTTAGCCACGTTTTTGTTTTAATTTCTTAATTCCTCAAATGTCAACTTATGTTTTAATGTTAGAACCTTTCCGATGAATATTAAATTACGACATCTTTAGAATAACTAACATTTATATAAATCATAATATAGTAAACGTGATCAGTCGACCTATTAACAATCCATCCTCTGGTTTAATATTTTCCTGAAACCAATGTCAAGGCCAGTAATACGGCTATGTTTTTGTCCCCCGCCTTTCGAAGAAAGCAGGGGACTATTAAAATGGGTTCGTCCGTCTGTCTGTCTGTCTGTCTGTCTGTCTGTCTGTCCGTCTGTCTGTCCGTCACACTTTTTGGGACACAATAACTTTCTTCCTAATTGAGCTAGAATGTTCAAACTTGGTGTATGTGTTGATTAGGTCAATGCCTTGATGGAGTTCGAAGATGAGCATTTTCCGCTTAGGGTAAGCAGAGATAAGCAATTTGATTGGTTGATGCTTTGGGACACGATAACTCTCTTCCTAATTGGGCTAGAATGTTCAAACTTGGTGTATGTGTTGATTAGGTCAATGCCTTGATGGAGTTCGAAGATGAGCATTTTCCGCTTAGGGTAAGCAGAGATAAGCAATTTGATTGGTTGATGCTTTGGGACACGATAACTTTTAATTGAGCTAGAATGTTCAAACTTGGTGTATGTGTTTATTAGGTCAATGCCTTGATGGAGTTCGAAGATGAGCATTTTCCGCTTAGGGTAAGCAGAGATAAGCAATTTGATTGGTTGATACTTTGGGGCACGATAACTCTCTTCCTAATTGAGCTAGAATGTTCAAACTTGGTGTATGTGTTGATTAGGTCAATGCCTTGATGGAGTTCGAAGATGAGCATTTTCCGCTTAGGGTAAGCAGAGATAAGCAATTTGATTGGTTGATGCTTTGGGACACGATAACTTTAGTTCTAATTAAGTGAGATTGATGAAACTTGGTGTATAGTTTCATTACAGTAATACCTTGACTAAGTTTGATAATGAGCATTTTCTGCTCAGGGTAAGCAGAGCGATACGCAATTTGATTGGTCGAGACTTTGGAAAACAATAACTCTCCTACTTTGATTGTTAGATTATAAGTAAAGATATACTGTTTGATTGTTCAATACTTTGTAAAAGATAATTTGTGATAAATTTATATGTGTCCTCTAATTATTTTCCTATTTCGGCGGGGGACATCAGCCTCACTGTTGGCTTGTTGAAACTAGACATGATATAGGCTACAACGTATAAACTAGACATGATATAAGCTACAAAGTATAGATTTTCAGTCAAGATTGAAATGTACTATTTAACAGGTTATTTAGCGACCCTACCCGTCTTGACAGATTGGGTTGCTTTCCTTCACAACTTTATAATATGTTTTGTATATATTTTTTGTAACATATCAGAGATAGCATGTTCCCCAATTTCGTTTCTGTGAATACAATGATATATAAAAAATGGAGAATAGTTGTTAGCTCTTGTATTATTACAGTCTTACTCACAGGATGAGTAACGCGCTCGCGCACCAAAAGGGTTGGATTCTGATGAATGTCTTCCATTTAGTTATCTTTATGTCATCTTCGTTCTTTATTATCATCATTCAGTCGACCCTCTGAACCTCTGTATATCTTTACCCGTTTTCTGACTCCATGCAGTCTATCTCCTTTTATTTATTTTTATGCAGTCTACCTACTTTTTTTTATTTACACAGACATTTAACATAGTTACAACATAGATGTACAACGTTACAGACTGGTGTCACCAAAGGCCTTCATGTCTTCAACATCGGGGTTAATTATGATTAGGGTTAGGTCGCCCAGTACTTGACTTACTTTGTGGGTATTTTGTATAGCATCTAAAATATAACGTTCGCGTACGGTTGGATAATAATTAATGAAAGTTTATCAGTTTTAATACATGTCAATATACGCTAGATATGTGTTACTAAATAGTTTATCTGACCTCATAAAATTACCATTGGACATGTCAAACATACTGTGTGATTAAAATAATACACATGCGCCCACAGTTCTCATTTCAACAGGTTTAAGGGGCGGGCGGTTCATTGGTTGCCCATGCAAAATAATCGCCCTTTCTTTAGTGTCCTTTATTATAACTACCAGGTCCATAGCTAGCCCAAAATTGTTAGGGGGGCAAAGGCTTCTCGGGGCGCCGATGCGGTTTCTGGGGGCGCCGATGTACCTACACTTGACGGTCCACGGCGAACGGTACCGTGGACACTCCTCCCTTGGTAGGGTGCTCTCCCGCCTGAAAATGACGGATAATTTCAATGTGAACTTGATATGAACATTATAAAACTTTGAAGGAAGGAATACGACTTTAACGTACCTATAATAATTTATGAGATAAACGACAAGTTCGCAATCGGTTTAGTGTGCGACTTGTTTGAATTTTGAAGATTATCACGCCGTTTTGGCGCCAAATTTATTCTTGGGAGCCTAACCAATCTCACGCGGCATTGTAGGCGCCCCGCCAATTATATCATGGGCGCCCATGATGTCGTTGTGGGCGGCCCACCAATCTCGGCATTATGGGCGCCCCTCCGGGATGAGGCACCATACCAATTTCGAAGATTATCACGCCGTTTTAGGCAACCAATTCATTCGTTGGAATCTAACCAACCAATCTCATTGTAGGTGCCCCACCGATTATATTATGGGCGCCCATGTTGTCGTCTTGGGCAACCCACCAATCTCGGCATTATGGACGCCCCTCCGGGATGAGGCACCATACCAATCATGCCGTTTTGGGCGCACCAACCAATCTTACTTGGCATTCGGCATTATGTGCGGCCCAACAATCATATATTGTCATTATAAGACGCCCCACCAATCATGTCATTATGGGCGCCCCTCCGGGATAAGGCACCCCACAGATCAAACTGTTTTGGGCGCCCCATCAATCAAGTTGTGGTGTTAATCGTGCGAGTCATTATGAGACGCCTCACAATTTTGGGGACGCCTCGTATATAACGACATGATTGGCGAAGCGTCCTTAAACCAATTGACATTGCTTGGGCGCCCAACCAATGTTACTCGGCTTTATGTGGCATTGGTCGTTGGCTTCGTACTGCGTTCAATGGAAAGGCCGCCTTCAGCGCTTATTGGGGGAGCCGATTTTTTCTAGGGGGTGGGGGTAGCTGCCCCCCTTGCCCACCCGCTAGCTACGGCCTGACTACCACCCCTAAGTACTAAGCAGTAGATCGACGTTTGGGTCACTCTGAGATATTATTACTAAAGCAAGGACAAACATAAACCTAGTACAATTCTGGCATGTAACCCATCACGGGTCAGTTTATGTACAAAATAGATTCGTTAGCCCGTGAGGAAATAGGGCGTAATCTCTAAAAGACCTAAAGATGAAACTACACTGCAAGTTATTAATAAAGAAATGATGAATTCTGTCCATGCCAGCCATAGTCATCCTTGGTCTTGGGAATATACCATAACATGTAAATGGAAAAAAATACATATGTAAATGAAGAAACTATATTTTAGCTGAAACTAACTTCAAGGTACGATATATGTTGTAATTAATTATTATCTCTCTATTAGTCGCATGCCATAAATAACCTTGACCGTATTGGTGTATGTGAATAGTACGATACCCGTGATAATAAGACTGATAAAGATAAGGTGTACTGTGAGCAAACTTTTACTCAAAACTAAACCGGGTCTATAACCTTGACAAGTACATGATAATAATATCCTTGCGGCGACAAGTCTTTGGATACAATAGTTAAAAAAAAATAATCAAGGTACATAATTAGTTGTACGTACCTGTGGTCTGCTGTTTATTTGTACTCCAGGCCTGAAACTGGCTATGTTCTAGTCCGAAAGTCAGAGAAGAGTCAAAACGATAAGTTTCTTTTTATGTCAGATTCCGAACCTTCAACGTCAACGACGTATCTGGTCTTGGCTTCAACGTGCAAAGGCGCAGATGTTGATTATGTCCCTTCGTGGAGTGGGTGGATTCAATGGTATACTAATAGAATATTTTTAGCTTTATCTTACAAAAGAATGGGAGCGAGTGTTAATGTTTGTTGGGACACTTGGTACTATTTTTTTTATATTTATGAAAGTTCCAAAAGCCTACTCATTTTTATTGTACATTTGAAATGACATGAAATTAATACGAGGGCTTTCTATGCAATAAATTATATCCGAGTCACTTACACCACCCTAGCTCAACTCTGAAGTAGAATGTGGAAGGTCCTATTCTTCAAGCTAAACTAATATTACATGTGTCCGTGTTTAAACCAATGGAATAAGTCATTTTTAATATTATTACAAACAGAACGACCCTCAGATTTTTAAAAACGATAACTCATATCAACAATAGTGTTAAAAGATAAGATGGATTTGTCGTCGCCATTAGTATTTGTGTGCTGTCTAGTCACTATCATAGACACAATTGTATATCAGTTTGTGTAGTTAGTGATAACAGTTTAGTGATATAATAATCTCAATTTATTGTTTAACTTATTTTACTTTGAACCGTGATTGTCCATGTAACAATCGGAGAAAATGAATTCATTACTTATTTTGATAATGTGTTTTATCGCAACTCATGCGAGGCGAAATGTTTTGTTTCTTGTCTCAGATGATATGAGGCCTCAATTAGGAGCTTATGAAGGACCCGATTTTCCTAATCCTGTTCATCCTGCGATGCATACACCCAATATAGATGCATTGGCTAGCAAAAGTCTTTTGCTGAAGAAGGCATACGTTCAACAAGCTCTGTGTAATCCTAGTAGATCATCAATGTTAACAAGTAGACGACCAGACACTACACATGTTTACGACCTAAAACATTACTTCAGAAAAGTTGGCGGTAACTTTACCACGATACCCCAGTACTTCAAAGAAAATGGTTACATGACCGTTGGTATGGGTAAGATTTTCCATCCAGGAGAAGCCGCATCGGGAAAGGATGATCCTATTTCATGGTCTGTTCCATATTTTCATGCAAAAGTAGATTCTTATTCTAAGAAAGGTTACAGTTGGATGGCCATTCCAAGATCAGATTATGAAAAGGAGCCGCTACAAGATATGGTTTTAGCAGATAACGCCGTAAAGGTGTTACAAGAGGTAGCACCAGCTGCAAAACGCGGCGAACAGCCATTTTTCGTCGCTGTTGGTTTTCATAAGCCTCATTTACCGTTTATTTTTAGGGATGAGTTTTTGGATTTA